ATTGATTTTCCTTCTGAGGAACATGAACAAATAAAGTTAAAAGGTTAAAACCGTATTATTCAAATAAAATGTCTGTAGTTAGAGAAAACAGGTTTTTGAGCTGCATGCATTCAGCTGGGACTGCTGCAAAGTAAAGAATAAAGATCAATTCCTTGTGAAATAATTCTTAATTAGATTGTATTATTGTATTATTATTGTATTGTATGTTATCTCCTCTACAAAACTGATTCGCTGCTGATGATTATGACGATGATTCTTTTCATGGTGCTGTTAAGCATAGGCATCGCATCAATTATAAGGGGACATGTCCCCCTCACATTAAAAAAATGTTTGTTTGGACACCCCCACATTTACCATGAAATATTAGTTCACCCAGCGCTGTTTGCATTTCATTGTGAACAAATCCATTCCACTCAATTAATAGAAAAATACTCAAAGCACTAAAAGGCCACTGTGGGTTTTCAACAACTCGCCTCACTGCATGCAGCGTCTCCCCAGGTTACTTGTCTTGGCAGGGGACACTCATCTCTTCTGGTTTTTTTTGTGGACAGGGTGGGGGGAGGAGGGGGAAGAAGCCTCTGTGTGGCACGTTATCTTAGCGCTACGTTAGTGCAGGCAGTTGTCGACCGGGGTAGCGGTGTTCGGATGCTTGAGATGATAACACAAGGAGAGCTGTTGGTCAGGCTACTTGTTGCTCTCTAAAATAGTTGTTGAATCAAGTGTTTACTTATGTAGGTAAACATAGATGTTTAACCCCTTAAAATACACCAGAATGCAGGAAATGGCATCTACTTTATTCAAAATCTTCTGGGGGAGGACCCCCAGACCACCCACAAGTGTGCCTGCCCCCCATGTACAAATGATTCTGACGCCAATGCTGGTAAGATAGTTTCATTGTGCGGGACATCTTTGTGTTGATGTTGGAAATGACTCCAGCCTCCTACTCTGAAAGTTATTGAGAGGGCTGGGAGTCCTAAAACCATCGTTGTGAAACTTATTTCTTTAAATTGTGATATTGAGTATTCTAAATTGATTGCAAATTAATTGACTGGAATGTGTCTGTTCAATGTGGTATTGAGTCTTTTTGAGTTGTTTTGCTGCGGGGCATTACTCTGGGGTACATATTTTACGCTGTTTAAGTTCAAATACATTGAAACCTCATTTAAGTCATTGTTACTTAAAGCTGAATTGTTTGTTGTTTAAAGCAGTTGGTTGTACTTTTCATAGAGCATTTATAATAAATGTTGGCAATATGTCATGATTTTATTCTATCACCACCACAAAAAATTTTTTTGGCTCAGGATATTTTTTTCACTTTAAGCCCTGTTTCATACATGAGGCCCCTGAACACAATGTTGGCTTTTTATGATGAAACGACCATGATGGTACAACTTGATCATTTTCCATTCTTTTTTTATGAGAAAAGACTGAGTGAAGGATAAATATGAAGCTATGCAGAGCTGTTCCCAAGGATGGGTTTACTTTCTCCTAATTAGTGTTTCTGCTGTCCTTTGATCTCCTCACAGTGACATCACACTTCGCTACAAAGAGACCCGTCGACGCAAACAGGAAGCGCCCGCTGACTGGGACCGCCCTGTGGGTAACGGCAGCTCGGGGACCTCATCTGGACGAAGCAAATTAAATGGGAGCTCTGAAACGCTACGCCAGAGGAAATCCTGAAAGTTAGCTGCTCTGTTACAATGGGGGGGGGTTACTGAGAGAAAAAATGAGGGGTGTTGTTACACAAAGACAAACATAGAGAGGCAAGCCGAAGGACACAAAACGATCCTGTGCCTACATGAACCAAGTACTCAATCAGCTGACACTGTTTTTATTTGTATCCTTCTGTTATTTTCACACAACAAAAAATACTCAATTTTTTACTTTCGTGGAGCTATAATGGTAAATGCTGCATTTTTTGTACTAGTGTCTTGAATATTGGCAGAAAGACTAATGGAAGAAGAATTTAGGCTGACACTTGAACAATTACCGAAAATTGTTTCTTTTCTCGTAATAATCAAAAGGAGAGCATCGGCAGCGTTAGCGTTGCTTTAAATAGGATTGGTTCTGTCCTGCAGGTAAGAAAAGTGAGTATTTATCGGGTCACTCAGTTTCTGTCTGAATGATTGCTGATCTAGAGTCTAGTCCAGAGGTGCGCAATACGTCAATTGCAAAGGTAATATGGTTAGATTGCGTGCTAAAAAAGTGTGGGCACCCCTGGTGTAGTCTATGCAGCACGTTTTGTTTAAAGAAAAGTTTGAGGCGTGTTATAGTCCAGGTTCCCACGTTTTCTCTCCGGTTCAGGGTTGACTCCTGGGAGCTCGGACTTTAAGGTTTCTTCCCTTTCTGTTCTCTCAGGTATTCTTGGAAAAGTTTTGTTTTATTTCAATCAAGATATGATAGAAAAACAAATCAGTAGTTGTTACAAATAGCTTTCGGGTCAGAACTAGTCTGTAACTCATCGCGTCGCAGTGACTGATGACGACTTTTGTTTTCATACCACCACATGTTGCTGTTCTGCAGTCTATTAGAAGTTTTCTGGTGAATGTAATCGGCACATTCTGCTGTTAAAAATAGAAATAAGATAAATTTACTTTGCTAAATGCTAAACAGACCCATTCTTGTACAAATTTTGCTGCTGTCAGATTTCTCACGTTTTTTTAACCATGATCAGACTAAACCTTGAACTTTTCCCTTCATCTTTGAACTTTTTGTTGCATCTGGGATTTAAAACCAACTAAATGTGAAATCATGATTAGTTTATGAATACTGAAACCACACGTTTTATTCTTGAATGGATGGGGGATTTAGTGGGTCAAAAGCAACATTTTTCTATTTGATGGTTCAGGGGGTGGGGGGTGGTAGATCCTACTTCAGTTCAGTCTCCTGACATCGAGCGACAACTTGATGTACTTTTTAAATGTGTAAATGGGAACATGTTAAAATTACAACAAATATTCAGCTCTGCATAATTTTATAATGTTTTCAATAAAATCAACAGAAAATCTGAAATATGCACTTTGCTTCATAGTCTACTTTTTTAAACTGAAGTAAACATACATTGTTGGGGACCGCCTTGAAAGGTAGCACCCTATTATTATCCACCTGACAAGGGTCTTACTCTTCTTTCAACTTTAATGCAATCTGAACCACATCGTGTCCCCCCACAAATGTTATATCAAAAAGACCGGCTCAGCGCCGTGATGTGCTGTTACTTTTAAAAGGTGTTTTTTGTTACCATGTTGATGTCATTTAAAAAGACGCCATTTTTCTCATTGAAAAACCCTAACAGAACTCTGAACATCCTACAACTGCCACAGTGAGGTCACATGACCTAGAATGAAGAGGTCTCTGAACAAAACACTGATTAACTTTTGGAACCAATTTGGTTCAAGATGGCTGCCACAGCTACCTCAGAAAACTCAAAATTGACTAACAGTCATTCTTTGAGACATTGAGCTGAAATTTGGAGTGGTGGTCACTGAGAGCAATGCCCAACAAATACTGAATTTAAATTAAAAATCCAAGATGGCCACCAAAGCTACATTTGAATGGCTTTAACTCAACTGTTTTTAGATATAGAGCTGAAATTTGTTGAGGTTATAGCTGAGAACATCCCCCCATCACATACTGAATCCAAAATCCAAATCAAAAATCCAAGATGGCCACCTTAGCTTATAAGAAAAAATTACTAACTCATTGATTTTTTTTTGCCATATTGAGCTGAATTTCGGTTTATTAGTAGCTGAAATCAAACCCAAGCACAGTACTGTCAAATCAAAATTTGAAAATGGCTGCCACTTGGCAGTCCTCGTCAAAGTTTCTCCAGAAACTTTCTAGTTATTCAGTTACTGTAATTGGGGGAGGGGGGGGGGGGGAGAACTACTGCCTCCTTACCCATAACTTTATGGATTTTCTTATCAAGACATAATAAAATGATCAGATGTTACCAGATTCTAATTTTTTTAAATCTAACCCATGTGTAAAAAACTGATTCCTCCATGTTCTTAAACCAAATCAAACTCAAAGCAGTAAATCTAGCCCATGCTTCTTTACATCACTTTAGTTCCTTGAAGTTTGCAGACATTTGTTTTAGCACAGCTCTTTGGTTTTTCCAAAGTTTTGACCTCAGCCAGATTGAAATGATGTACAGTAGTCCCTCGTTTATTGAGGGTGTTTGGGACCACGCCCACCCCCATAAGTGAAAAACCGTGACGTTGGGGATACAGCAGTCCAAGTTCAATTCAAATTCAGTAAACTTTGTCATGACGTACCAGGCTGTAATCACACTCATCACCTGTTACTCCCAGTCTTCCTCCTTAAATAAACAATTTAAATACTGTAACATTTTAAATAAACATGCATCATGGATTGTTTTTTGAAAATGTTACAGTATTTACATTTAAATTGTAGAGAAGAGAAGTGCAGCAGGACGTCAAAGGGATGTCGCACAGCTCTGCAGCATGGAACAGAAAAGTACTTCTTGATCAATTACACTTGGAACAACTGAACATAGAAGTTCTAAAATAATTTGAAAATAACTTTTAACTCTTCTGTATTGTGATTATGACAATTTTACAATGTGAAATACTTTGAATTTTAAGTTGGAAGACAAAAGTATCTGTGCTAAATAAACAACCCATGGCTCATCCATCAATCAGTCAATTGTGTCATGTCTGATATTATTTTGAAAAATCGCGATATAGCGAATCCATGATAAACGAACAGCGAAGTAGCGAGGGGCTACTCTAGATCCAAAGAACCAAAGGGCCCAGCTATTGAAAGTTTGTTGCTGTTGTGGATCATTGTCCCGTTTCATGACTTGATGCAAGCTTCCACTGTTGGTCAAATTTGACTCTGAAGTCATTTGGTCTACAGAGTTTGTGGTTAATGAATAGATCACCTGTCCAGTTCTCTACTGTTATGAGATGTATGTGCTGTGTGGTTTTCAAACATGGCACTGTGCAGTGTGCTATAAATCTCTTTGAAATGTCTGTTGGACAGATGAGTCCAGATGTTGAGCTTGATTTAGCAGCATCTTCATAAACCCAACTCTGACATTTTACCTGGAAACCCTTCCAAATAAACCAGACTTGTTCAGCCTTGAACTAGTAATACATAGTTCAAGGCTGAACTAGACTTACTAGTTTAACATCGGCGACACAGTGGAGCGTTAGAGCAGTCTCCTCACAGTAAGGAGGTTTTACTCTTTAAAAAAGTTAAATCTGGTCCTCTGGACATTCAAAAAACAAAAACAAAGCAAAACAACAAAAAAAAAGTAGAAACGTTTCATCTCTCATCAAAGAGACTTCCTCAGTCTGAGGTGCTGTATTCAGCTCAGTCTCTTAAATAGCACCTTCTCAGAGTGGATCAACCAGTTTGCTGCTGACAACCAAAACCAGCTGATCACATGCTCAAGAAGGACCATCAGCCTAACAATGGGTCATTAGCACACTGATGGCTGTTTACTATTCACAGAGGGCTGAGTGATACTAGCAATCACAGCATTGTAAGAGGGGGACAGTTGAACACGTAGGCATGTGACATGTGATCAGCGGGTTTTGGTTGTCAGCAGCAAAACTGGTCGATCCACTCTGAGAAGGTGCTATTTAAAAGACTGAGCTGAATACAGCACCTCAGACTGAGGAAGTCTCTCGGATGAGAGATGAAACGTTTCTACATTTTTTTGTTGTTTTGCTTTGTTTTGTTTTGTTGAATGTCCAGAGGACCAGATTTAACTTTTTTAGATTTTTCTACCTGGAGTATTGAGCATGCATCAGGATGTTTTACTCTTTACTTCCCTTTCCTCCCATAGACTATCCATCCATCCATTTTCTTCCGCTTATCCAGGGTCGGGTCACAGGGGTAGCAGCCTAAGTAGGGAGGCCCAGACTTCCCTCTCCCCAGCCACTTGGTCCAGCTCCTCCGGGGAATCCTGAGGCGTTCCCAGGCCATCTGAGAAACGTAGTCCCTCTAGCGTGTCCTGGGTCTTCCTCTGGGTCTCCTCCCGGTGAGACGTGTCCGGAACACCTCGCCAGGGAGGCGTCCAGGAGGCATCCTAACCCAAGTGGCGACCGAAATGAGTTTTCTCCGCAGGGTGTCTGGGCTTTCCCTTAGAGATAAGGTGAGAAGCTCGATCATCCGGGAGAGATTCAGAGTTGAGCCGCTGCTTCTCCACATCGAGAGGAGCCAGTTGAGGTGGCTCGGGCATCTGGGTAGGACCTCCTCCCTGACCCTGAGAGGGCACTCTACCCTTTTCCGTCTCAAGACCATGGCCTCGGATTGGACATGCATATTAAATCAGTTTTTCCATACAATTTTCCATTTTACCTATAATAAGATGTTTGAATCTGTTGAAATGTTACATAGAAGTAATTAAACAACCTGCTAAAACTCAGATCGTCTGTTTTTTTTTTTACCCCCCAAGACTTTGTTCAATCTGAACTAATTGAAATCATCTAACTTGACCAAAGTTCATGCTCAGTAATCCAAGTAATAATCCAACAAGGTTCCATCAGGTCATCTGAACAGTTTATTGTTTTTGCTGAGACGTTTCGTCCTTCAGCCGACAGACTTCTTCAGTCTGAGGAGCCACCAACAAACTGAGTCCCAGCACAAACAGCACACTCCCATTAGTGTGAAAAAAACAGTTTGCTGGTTAGAAGATGGCCTTCGGGGCCTGCCCTCTCCCCCCAACCTCTCTGAAGCAGCCTTGCCAAAGTGGTTCAAAACACCAAAGATCGTGCTCAACAATCCAGGTAATAATCCAGCAATGTTCAGTCAGGTCATCTGTTCAAATCAATTCAGTTTATTTACTGTATATAGTGCCAAGTCACAACAGAAGTCATCTCAGGGACTGAACAGAAACATTCAAAATAATAATAATGTAGCACTATTTATCTGAGGAGCAGACTTCTTTGTGTTTAACTCCATCGCAGAACTCTCATCTTGAGCAAGCAAATTAAATTAAATCAAGCCGATCCAAGATGTGGTTATTAATTAAGGGAAATTTTCATTCATTCAACCTTTATTTAGACAGGTTAATCCCATTGAGCCTCGAGGACTTATTTACAAGTCAAGTCAAGTCAGATTTATTTATAGAGCACATTTTAAACAGAAACTGTTACCAAAGTGCTTAACAAAAATATCACAACATTAAATAAAAAGTAGCAAGATATATTTACAGCACATGGAATAAAAATATAAAACCAAAAACATAATTAGAAACAATGAAATACTAAATCAGATCATGTTGTCAA